AAGACCTGAAGAAGAACTTCTGGTGGCCGGGCATGAAGAAAGATGTTGCTGTCTTTGTGTCCAAGTGTTTGGTTTGCCAGAAGGTGAAGATTGAACATCAGAGACCGTCTGGTGAACTTCAACCTCTTGAAGTACCACAGTGGAAGTGGGAAGGTATTTCCATGGACTTCGTGGTGGGATTGACGAAGACTCAGGCGGGTTGTGACTCTATTTGGGTCATTGTGGACAGACTGACGAAGTCTGCCCATTTTCTTCCAGTGAAGGTGAGCTTCACTACAGAGCAGTTGGCCAAGCTTTATGTTCGCGAGATTGTGAGGCTTCACGGGGTGCCCGAGAGTATCATCAGTGATAGGGACCCGAAGTTCACATCTCGGTTCTGGGAGGCGCTGCAGGAGGCTTCTGGTACGCAGTTGAGATTGAGTACCGCCTATCACCCTCAGATTGATGGACAGACTGAGCGGACTATCTAGACCTTGGAGGACATGTTGCGGGTTTGCACGTTGGAGCAGGGCTCGGCATGGGATAGGTACCTTCCGTTGGTTGAATTTTTGTACAACAATAGCTTTCATGCTAGCCTGGGCATGGCGCCCTACGAAGCACTGTATGGCAGGAGGTGTCGGACTCCTACCTGTTGGTTTGAGGTGTGAGACAAGGAGCTTTTTGGCTTGGACTTTGTCTAAGATACCACCCAGCAGATCCCGTTGATCAGAGAAAAGTTGAAGCAGGCGCAGAATCGCCTTAAGAGCTACTATGATGTCAAGCATCGTCCACTGGAGTTCAGTGAGGGTGAGCACGTGTTTGTGAGACTTTCACCTATCACCGGTGTTGGTCGGGCACTCGGAGTGAGAAAGCTGAGCCTGCGATATATTGGGCCATACTAGATTCTTGGTAGAGTAGGACCTGTTGCCTACCGGCTTGCCTTGCCTCCGAACTTGGCCAACATCCACGACGTGTTTCACGTTTCTCAACTTCGGAAGTACATAGCAGATCCTTCGCACGTGGTGCAACCTGATGATTGGAAGTTCGGGAGAACTTAAAGACTCTCGTCGGACCACTCAAGATTCTCGATCATGGCGAGAAGCAACTGAGGAGCAAGATCATTCCGATGGTCAAAGTGCAAAGAACTTCTGAGGAGTGTACTTGGGAGCGTGAGGACGAGCTTCTCCGGCAGTACCCCGAGTTTCGAGACAAGTATGTTTCTGATTTTGAGGACAAAATCCTAAAAAAGTGGGGTGAATGTAAGAACCCGCACGGTTAATTAAGGGAATTAATTAATTATATATGCAAAATTAGGAAATAATTCCATAATTGACCCTAATAATTATTATGAGGCTTAATTAAGTATGATAAGTGATTAAGAATGCTGAAAGTCGCTTTTCGGAAGAAAAGTGCAGATACCGGTTCTGCTAGTCGGTATAAATGCGTACCGAAAAAGTATCCCGGAAAATTATAATAAGTGCATGATAATTCCTAGAATAATATATTTGACTTGTAAAATGAGTCTCAAGTTAAAATAATGAGAACTGGTGCCAGAAACTGATACTGGCTATGAAAAGCGCGTACCAGAAAGGTGCTCCAAAAAATATTATAAAAATATGATAATTCTTGTAAAATTGAGTAGGTTAAGAATCCTGAGTTTGGGATTATAATGCTAAGCGTAGCAATTAAAGTTAATAATGTGTGTTTTATGGTTAAATGGCTATATATACATTTATTATTGGGAACAAAACCCTAGAACCACTACTCCTACGTGACTTATACGGTTGAGTGCACCCTTGCACTGTTTCAATTCTTCCTTCTTCCTCCTTGAGAGCATAGGGGCCATTTCTCCCTTATTTTTCTTTGTTTCATCATCCTAAACACTTGAGTGAGTGTGAGTGTGACTTTGTGAGGGAGAGGAGTACCCCATTGCTGACTTCCAGCCACTGTTTTTAGTGAGGGGTGGGCTGAGTTTCCTTGTCTTGAGTTGTTGGAGCCTTTCCTTGGTAGTAGAAGCTCCAAGTGGACATCCTTGTGAAGGAAAAACCAAACTTGTTGCTCCATTTTTCGTATTTCCTTGAAGTCAGAACTGTGAGGACCTTTTGGTGAGCTCCAAGAGCACTCTCTCCTCTGTTTAGTGAGCTCCAAACTTGTTTCATCTGTACCCTTCTCTAAAAGGGGGGGGGGGGAAATGAAAGAGAAAGAAAAATGATAAATATGCATAAAAGGTGGCTAAAAGGAATTAATTCCTGAAATTCTGTGGGAATGTTAGTGGAGCAAAACCATTGAGTTGAATATGCTAATTTGAAAGAGTATCAGTTTTTCAATCTCATTGTTGTTTGAGTTACTATCCATATATTCCTACCATTTAACCCAGTCAAGATACAACCTGTGAAGTTCTTTTGATCAACTGGTGTATGTGTTTAATTCTTCATTTTTAAGAATTTTGAGAATATGATCAAGCTTATGGTAGTGTTATAGCTTTGTTGGATTGAGTGCTCATGATACCCTAAAACACTAAGTGTTGAGTGAATATTATTTATCTTTGTGAGGGGTAATCAATGTAGACTTGTATCTTTAAGAAGCTGATGACATTGTTGGAAATTTATGATATTGGATCAGTCATGCTTAGTATATTGTGTCTGAGAGTGTCTGTAAGAACCCGCACCGTTAATTAATGAGGTTAATTAATTAATTATGTGAAATTAGGAAATAACTCCATAATTGACCCTAATAATTATTATTAGACTTTAATAATTATGGTAAGTAATTGATAATGCTGAAAGTCACTTTTCTGACGAAAAGCGCAGATACCGGTTCTGCTACTCGATATAAATGCGCACCGATGAAGTATCCCAGAAAATTACAAAAAGTGTGTATATGTCAATAGAATAATATATAGGACTTGTAAAACAAGTTTCAAGTTAAAATAATGAGAATTGGTGCTAGAACTGATACTGGCTATGGAAAAGCGCGTACCGGAAAGGTGCTGCGAAAAATAAAATAAAAATATGACAAATCTTAGAAAAATGAGTAGGTTCAGAATCCTAAGTTTGGAATTAAAATGCTAAGCGTAGCTATTAGTGCTGATACTGTGTGTTTAATACTTAAAACACTATATATGCAACTTTAGGCACATAACCCTAGGCATGCTAAGATTCTCTATGTGAGTTTTGCTGAAGTTAGAGCAGCCACCTTGCCACCTTCATCCTCCTTTCACCTTTGGAGCCAAGAGGCCTCATTTCTTCTTGGTTCTTTCTCTAAAACTCCTTGTGTGAGTGTGCATTGGCTTGAGAGAGTGTGAGGTGCTCCCTTTTTTGAGTTTGAGGTGCTGTTTTCTTGGGCTTGGGGTGCTGACTTCTTGGTGTGGGTTGAGGGATCCATTGTCATGGCATTTTGAGGTACAAGGAGTGACCTTTGTGAAGAAAGAACCCTTCTTGGTGTGCCATTTTCGTGCACCTTCATAGTCTGAATCTTTGGAGCTGTTTGGTTAGCTCCAAGAGCACTCATTTCTCTGTTTTGAGCCTTGGGTAAGTTCACCTACCTTGATCATGAGTTTTTATGGGTTAAAGCTTAAGTCTTGGCATGTAATATGTTAAAATGAAGTAACCAACATAAACATGAACCTGTAAGTTTGTAAAAATGCATGCTTGGACATTGGAATGGGTTAAAAACCCAACCTTTGGAGTGATATCTCGCGAAATGCAGAAACTGCATTCTGTCGCGAAATATCCAGATATGGATATCCGGATATGATATTCGGATATGGATATCCGGATATGGATATCCGGATATGATATCCGGATATGGGCTTTGAGATATCCGAATATGGATATCTGGATATGATATCCGGATATGGGATATCCGGATATGTCCCCGACATATATCCGGATATTCTGGGAATTTTGAGACAGTGTCTGTACTGTTCATACAGAACTGTGTTTGAGGTTTGTGGACCCTAGATTGATTAAGTTGAACTTCTGTAATAAGTATTTTAAGTCAGAATCAAATTGATTAAGGGCTTGTGGCTTTGTGAGAAGCCTAAAGACATGAAACGTAAAGGAAATGTGTTGTCTTTATGTCGTTTTCTTGTAGAGTTTGAATATTAATATTATTCTGGTCCAAAACAGATTGTGATTCTGCTGTGTTTGGGCTTTGAGATTGGTTGGACTCTTGGCTTGGATTGCTAGCTTGCAAGGTAAGCTTTCGTGTCTTCGGTTTAGCCATTGTGTGGTTCCACCATACCCCATGGGGGAATGGTTTATATGCATGTTGTGTTTACATGCTTTGATAATTGAAAATGCTGTTGATCTTTATGTGCAATTGCTTATAATATGTATGTGTTGTTCCACTTAGACGGTCAGCCTGAGTATGTGGCGTCATACAAGACGGTGACACTGTGGGTGGGTGCAAGCATGGTTATCAAAATCGCGAGTTAACTCGTAAAATTGTACGATTTTACGAGTTTACTTTGTTAAACTCGTTAAAATCACGATTTTACTGTGCAAAATCGCAAACTCGTACGATTTGGGACGAGTTAGCGATTCATGGGCAGTGATGGCAAAAAAAAAAAATTTGGACAAAAAATCGATTTGGCCCAACCCAGTTTACTCAATAGCTATTTTCTATCAAAAATAAACCCTAATCCCCAAATTCCCATCGCGCGTTTGCAAGAGAAAGGGCAAACAATCATCTTCCTTCCCCACCATCGCACGACACTGCCACCTGCAACGGCTGAAGACCGACGACCCGACCGACGACTGGAGCACCGTGGTGGTGCCGTGGAGGTGCTGTATTTTTTATGTGGCGTGGTTCTGTTTTTTTATCTTGTTATTTCTCTTTTGCTATTAGTATTGGTGGTAGTGGCATGGTTCTATTTTTTATCATTTTGACATTGTGCTGTTTTTTCTCTTTTGCTATTGCAATTGCTTGGACTTTCTTTTGATGTTAATGTTGGACTGTTGGTGCTGTTTTTTTTTTTTTTTACTTGAATGATATTTTTTTCATCAAATTATCAGTTAATGGCTTCAAGTGGTGCCGCCGCCGCCGGTGTTAGTAGTTCAGCTAGTGTTGTGTCTGCACCTATTACTAGGAAACAAAAGGCTAAAAATGCTCCTGGAAATCGGAGTGATATAGGGTGGAAATATGGCATGCCATTAAATGAATTGGGAACAAAAATCCAATGCAAATATTGTCCAAAGAAAGTAAGTGGAGGAGTTTATCGATTTAAGCATCATTTAGCTGGTACCAAAAAGGATGTTGAAGCTTGTCCATCGGTGCCCGATGAAGTAAAGAAAGAGATGTTTGAAAATGTAGCATCACTCCAAGAGAGATTTTTGAAGAAATCAATGATAGTTGAAAGTGATGATGAGGAGGAGGGTCAATGTGAAAAAAGAACAAAAACAAAGGAAGTGGAAGTGGGTTCTACAAATTTTTTCAAGAAAAGGGGAAAGGGAAGTGTTCAATCCACTATCAACAATATGTTCAAGAAAAATTTGAAACTTGATGTTGATGATGATGTTGCTGATTTTTTTTATGCCAATGCTATACCATTCAATGTGATAAAAAGTGATGAGTTCCGTAAGATGTGTGACTCAATTGGAAGATATGGTGTGGGTTATGATCCATCATCTTATCATGACATTAGAGTGAAGCTTTTGAATAAAAAATATGCATTGACCAAGGAGCTGATAGAAGAGCATAAACATCATTGGGAAAAGGTGGGATGCAGTATAATGACGGATGGGTGGACAAATCAAAGAAGGAGAACTATCATAAATTTTTTAGTGAACAACACGATGGGAACTGTTTTTATTAAGTCTATTGATGCTTCTCACATGTCCAAAACTGCTGAAAATCTTTTTCAAATGATTGATGATGTTATTGAAGAGGTTGGAGAAGATAATGTTGTGCAAATTGTGACTGACAATGCAGCCAATTACAAACGCGCTGGAGAGCTATTAATGCAGAAAAGAAAGAGGCTGTTTTGGACTCCTTGTGCAGCACATACCATTGAGTTGATGTTAGAAGATTTTGAGAAGCATATAGCGGTTCACCGTGAAACAATTCCAAAGGGCAAAAAGATTACAACATACATATATGGAAGGACTTTTCTCATTTCTCTCTTAAAAAAGGCCACCAAAGGAAAAGTTTTGATAAGACCGGGCGCCACTCGTTTTGCTACATCGTATTTAACTTTGGGGTGCCTCTATGAGAATAGTAGTGCTGTAAAGAGGGTTTTCCTCTCAGATGAATGGAAGGCTAGCAAATACTCAAAGTCAAATGAGGGAAAACTTATTGCAAGTTTGGTTGATGATAGTCTCTTTTGGAAAAATGTTTTATTTTGTATAAAGGGTGCTTATCTGTTGTTCAAAGTGTTGAGGTTGGTTGATTCTGAGGAGCCAGCTATAGGATTTCTTTATGGAGAAATAGGGAAAGCTAAAGAGGAAATTAAAAACGTCTTCAAAGGTGTTGAGAATAGGTAAATTATGAAGTTTACTTTGAATTGAATTTATTTCTTTTAGATTATATTTCTAAACATACAACATATTTTTTATTTTTCAGTTATATGCCTTTATGGAATATTATTGACGCAAGGTGGGACAAGCATCTTAGTGGACCATTGCATTGTGCTAGATACTACCTAAACCCACAAATTCATTATGGTCCTAATTTTAAATCAACACTTCAATTGAAAAGAGGATTATATGATGCTTTGGATAAGGTTTTGGGGATTGAGAATGGACTTATATTGATGGATTCTCAACTAGAAGATTTTAAGTGTAGGAAAAACTTTATGGGTTGCAAGGCAGCCAAGATTTCAGTGTACAATAAAAGTCCAACACAATGGTGGGATTCTTATGGAGATGAAAATCCGGAGCTTCAAAGAGCGGCTATTCGTATATTAGGCTTAACATGTAGCTCTTCTGCATGCGAGGGTAATTGGAGTGCCTTTGAAAGGGTAAGATCTTATAAATACTGAATTTTTAAATTCTAAAATGCATGTTAATTTAAAAATTAGAATTTATAATAATTGCTTTTTATTTGTTTAGGTTCACACAAAGAGAAGAAACCGACTGACCACGAAAAAATTGAATGATGTTATTTTTGTGATGGTTAATAGAAAATTGGCCAAGAAGAAAAATAATAGAAAACCTCTTATCCATGATCTTGAGGATCTTCCATCGGATGAAGATTGGGTTGTTGAAGATGAAAATGAAACTAACATGGAAGGAGACTTGGGTTTGGATGAAGAACAAGAGGAAAACTTGGATTTAGAAACTCAAATTGAAGAAAACATGGTGGGAATCCAAAGTGGAGAAAACATGGTTGTAAACTTGGAAGTAGAAGAAATGGTTGAAGAACAAGTACAAGTTGCCGTGGGAGATGACGACGACGATGCTAACTTTGAAAATTTGATGAACTTTGTACTCTAAGCACTTAGTCTCTAAATTTTTTGTTATGAGTTTGTGTCTTTTTATTTATAATGTTAGTTGGATATTATTATATTTATTATATATTCTTAAAAGTAAAAACTTACGATTCGTGGCAATTTTACGATTTACGATTTTACTATTCCCTCACGATTTTACGTAAAATCGCGAGTTTGACAACCTTGGGTGCAAGTGGCGTCTTGCACTAGTGTGGGTAATAGACGTATTCATGCATTTCTCTGGCCAGTAGATTAGTATTGACACACATGACATGATTATCTGCTGCATTGCACTATTTTGGAACTTATACTGTTTAACTGTTTTTAGAACTTATATTGCACATGTAAGTGAGCTTGTGGTGGAAGATCCTTGAGGACCCCTTGTCTTACTGAGATTTCTGTTTAGAGATCTCACCCCACGTTTGGGGCATTTATTTCCGGTTCAGGTAACCCAGGGGTTGAGATCTCTAGCGGCAGGAGGCTGAAGCTTAGTTGATTGATGTTTATCTGCTTATGCTGACTATGCTTGGATGTTGGTTTATGTCTGTTGATATCATGTTTATTGCTTCATTTGATGTTATTGTTGAGACTCTGTTGATTATGTTGCTATTTGGTGAGCATGGGGATTGTTTATGCCACATTGACTTGACTTTATGTTTTCAGTTATGAGTTGTATTAAAGTATCAGGATATTGTCCGGACTACGTGTTGTAGATCCGTGACTTAGATACTCACTTATTTATCTATTAAGGTATTTCAGTTAGCTGTCTTTTGCAATCTACATACATGCGATGTTTTTATGAAATTGATTAAGTAATCAACTTGGTTACGTTTAGTGACGTCATAATTGCAAAGAAAAAGATTTTTCGCATATTTAATTAAGCGTGACTTAATACGATGGCATGTTAACAAACCAGGTATACACAGGGTGTTACAGTGTCTATGTAATGTTATGCTGGATTAAGTGATTGTTTCCTGGATTGAGTCTTGTACATTGCTGGGGACAACAACGTTTAAATCTGAGAATGGTTTGATGTGCCTCTGGCAGATATAGTTTCCCAAGCTGAAAATGATGAGAATTAAGTCATAAAAGAGCACTTTTTATACATATTTGCTTATTATATTGACTTTTCCATCTCAATGACATTTCTCACTTATTTGTGATGTTTATATAGGGAGAAGAGGTGGAAACTACAAAAGTGTAAAAGGCTTGGTGACGCGACTTCACACAGGTGGAAATTTCATGTTGCATCGTGTCCTTGGGCCAAAATTCCAGAGAAATGGCACAACTTAGCGCCACACTGGTGCAAGTTGACGCCGCGATGCAGAGCCAATAACCAGGGATCTTGATCAAATCTTCATCGTATATCTTGGTTCAATCTCCTTTGATACAGTCTGAATCAAGTTTTAAAATAATTACGTGCCTCCAATTTGGGCTTCTTTTTATCCTGTTTTCCTACAAAATCATAAGAAAATCAATGACAAGATATCTGATTGAGATTTATCAATTTAATAAAAATTCTAGCCCTTTTTATTCAAAATTGATCAAGATTCTTTCTCTTTTTGGCTTAAAATCATATATATGCTGGAGGCATATCAAACAATTTCTAGATTTGAACGATGGGTTGGCTCGTTTTTGTCAACCCTATGGGGGACTACAGCCAATGGGTTAAATTATACCAACTATAACAAGTGAGTTTGATACCATGTTATAACCAAAACCTTAAGGCATTAGGTTCATGGGTCCCCTAACTTATATACATTTCTGGATTATGGAGAGGAACTCATTGCCCTATGTCTAATCTCCATCACGCTCATGCTGGATGCACACCAGTTGTATGTTGGGTATGGCTTATACTTCGCATTCAAATAAGGAATCTTGTTGGCGGGGTCAGCAGAAAGCTGCGGATCCACTCAGGCTGGTACTGTTGTGGGCCTCCGACTTATTGTAATTTTCTTTTTCTTAGTAGTTTGAGCTTGAGCCCTTATAAACTAAGTGACTTGTAATGAGCGACGGTGAAATGAATATAGTACAGACAAGCTAGACATAGCCTACATTGGGTGAACCAGGGTAAATCTCTGTTTGAATTTCTCTTCCCTTACTCTTTTCTGTTTTCTTGATTTGCGCGATTTGTGTGTGAATTTCCAATAGTCGAGTCACTGGTTTTCGTCAAAAATCAACATAGCGAAATCGATTTTCACTAGACCTGTTGCATAGTCGATCCTTTGACTTATTCAAACCGGTTGAATCACTGATTTTTGGTTTACAGTTTAACCTGACCGGTCCAAGACAGATTTAATAACAGTTTTTCAAATTAAAGGGTAATAACTCATTTCAAACCTTAATTCATACTAATTAAGTTCTTAAAAGAAACTGCAATTAAACTTCTTTTAATATTAAAAAAAAGTTAGTTAGTTGGACTTGTGTAGTGTGAATTAGAACTTTTTCGTAACAAAAAAAAATAAAAAATTAGAACTTCTCCAGTCCATTTTATTTTTGGGTTGTAGCGTTTTTCAATCTTAACCAACTTCGAACGTTATGCAATTCACTTTTGTTTTTGAGAGGCAAGTGCAGTTGAGGCTTTTCAAAAGAAAATAAAAGAATAACAATATTCTCAGTATTATTTTTAATCTGTTATTTCAGAAAAAATTCTTATTCGATTTATTTATTCTTGAAAATTAATGACATATTTTGTTTTTTTTATTATTTCAACTGTTCTTGACCCTTTATTATCTCCACCACATTCTCAATAATTGCATATATTAATTGACTTTTCTTGTTTAAAATCTCTCAATTAAAAAAAAAAAATCTCTCAATTAATTCAGACATTTTTCTTTCATCGCTTCTCTCTTCTATAAAACTCAAAGAGAATTTTTAATTTGTATATATGGAAGTATTTATCATTATTATTATTATTATTATTATTATTATTATTATTTTGTTACATATTAATGAATTGGGAAAGAGAATTAAAGACTTAAAGAGAATCTATCATTTCATGTCAGATTTTTACGTAATTTTGTAATTTTTTTTTTTGTATATTTATCATTTTTAATATATTTTACATATTTTAAAACGTGCGTTGTACTTACAACCTAAAATTTTTACATCCTTTTGCAACTTATTTTTTCATTATTAATTTTTGTCAATGCAACGGTTATGATTTATCGGATTACATTTATTATTAATTATTAATTTATAACAAATTATAACTATTGGAATTATGGAAATTAACGGTAAAAAAAATTGTAAGATGTTGTAAAATTTTGAAGTTATAAAAATAACGCGGTTCTACCAATGTATTGTACATCCGACGCATAGGAGAGTATTAATGATGGAATAAATAAAATTTATATTAGATATCTAAATAAAATAGCAATATAGTCGTATGCAGTTTTTTCCCGTAAAATTTAAACTATTTAATAGTTTCTTTATTTTAATAGCAATACTCAAGCAATTATTACTTTATATGACAAATAAAGAAAGGAAAATGTTATACTTACAACCTATTTTTCTTTACAACCTCTTACAATCAATATCTTAATCGTTGATTTTCATCAATCAACAGTTAAGATTTATTGCGAATTAATAATTAATTAATAAAATTTATTTGTGAAAATCTTAACCGTTAATTGACGGAAATCAACGATTAAGATATTAGTTGTAAGAAGTTGTAAAGAAAAATAGATTGTTGTATAACCTTCCCCGTAAACAAAACCCAAAGTAAAGTTTTTGAAAATGCAATAATTGAAGTTCGGTGCATGTCGGCAATTGATTCTTTATTGAATGCTACATCACCTGATTAAAACTTTCCAAAACTCCGCAGCCTAGAAAACCGGTCAACATGAAACTCAAAAATAAAAAAATTCTAATAACCGAGTCAAATTTCATATATAGATATAGTTCAACATTTCTACTTTTGGAATAAAAATATTTTTTTACTACACTCTGTCTAAAAATAAATGAATTTCATTGTTAAGAAAAAAAAACCAATGAAATTCACCCACTTTATATATATATATATATATATATATATATATATATATATATATATATATATATATATATATAGTTATCAAAATCTCGATTTATCACTATGATTTTATGTTTTTACGATTTTTTCATCAAAACAATTTTACCAATATTCCAAACGCTTTTACGATTTTTTTACATTACGATTTTACGTTTTACGATTTTTTAATCCATTTCCGATTTTACTTAAAATCTTGATTTTAACAACATTGTATATATGGCTTATCATTTCTCAAGTTACTTGACATAATTTTATTTCTGCTTACTAAATCATAACCGTACAAAGATAGATCAATGTAATAAAGGATGAGAGAAAAAGAGAATCCTAACTATTCAAATGTGAATCAATTAATATAAGAAAATAAATAAACAAAAAGACGTAGTTTTTGAATGGGCGTAGATAAATATATCTTAAGCTGCTTGAGAAATATTTTTCTCTCTCATATATATATAAAATCAAATCTTATGTTGCAGGAATCAGATTTTTTTCTCTAGCTCTCCCTTAAAAAATAGTGTCGCGTGTTTTTTTATTTTTCTCTCATGTGGGACCCCCACTTGCCTATGTCTGTGGGAAGCCGGGAAGTAGAATCCTTGTCTACGACATGAGAATTCCATTGCCACATATATAATAGGGTTTAGCGGATGTACAGTGACTGTACGTTTATACCTAAGGATTGATGCAATCATATAAACCTACCTCGTTTTATAGTATGAAATGTGTAAATATAGGAAATTATAACTATACAAAAGTGAAAATAAATATAAAGAATTAAATATGGGGAATCCTAACCATATAAAGGTGAACATAAATATAATATTCCTATTTTCGACTATTGATTTTGAACGTGAACTTCCTTTATCCCACCCAAAATGACGTAGTTTGGTGAGTGCAATAAAGCTTGTATGCAGTCACATTACACTTCATTTTGCCACACACACACACACACACACATATATATATATATGTTATATTTACAAATTTTTTATTTATAAACTCTTACAAAAAATACTATGAATTCTCGGGAATACATTCACTGCCGAGTCTATTTCTGGGAATACATAATTGAGTTTGTAAACAAAAAATTTGTAAATATAGCATTTGTAAATATATATATGAGATAGGATCCTTTAAAACTGGTGTTAAACTTTGAAATTTGACACCAAATTCTAACCATTGATTTTCGTCAATCAACGGTTATGATTTTCACCCAATCAAACTTATTAATTAATTATTAATTCTCAATAAATAATAATCACTATTTGGCCAAAATCGACGGTTATAATTTGGTGTCAAATTTCAAAGTTTTACATCGGTGTCAAATGATTATGCCCCTATATATAAATGTGTTAGAGATATATTAATCTCATTCAACAACTTAAGATTTTGGGTTGAATTGAGAATTCTTTATGTGGTATCAAAGCATCGGTGTCATGGGTTCAATCATCACCACTTCTCATTTAATTAATAATTAATTAAATCTTATGGACTTTCTTAGCACAGATATGTGAGTCTATGTATTGTCCACCCTTTAAGTCCATTGGACTCCCGTGCCGTGTACGAGGGAGTGTGTTAAGAATTGTTGAGTTGAATTGATTCTTTACAAACAAAGTGTTTAATATCTTACATATTATACGAAATAAAATTATTTCTTACACACGCCTAAAAGTGTATAGGGCCTGTATTTTTTCTCTCCTTCTTCTCTTCACGCCTCACATGAGTCTCGTATACTTTTACATATATAAAAAATAATTTTATATGGTATAACATAACAAACATCAAACCCATAAATAAATACAGTGTAACGAAGATTCCAGGGACACCTGATTCTCGCTTGCTTACAAAACCCGCATTCATACGTTTCCACAAATCACTGCCCCGAAAACCTGCAAGGAGAAAATAGTTGCAAATGTTGCATGATTACAAGGGGCATAAGGTGAAGCCACCTTGGATTGCAATAAGCACCTCGTATTCAACGCCCTTGAAAACGTACAATAAAGATCTTTGTTATATAAATGCCCTTCTCGTTTCCTCACATTCTGTCACCCTCTTGTCCTTTTTCCGAATTCCAAACAAGAAAATGTCATCTTCCTCACATGAAGTTATCCTCACTAGCTCCGCTGATGGCCCCATCATGGCCTATGAGGCTTCCACCGGCGCCACCATTGCCCATTTCACCGGTAGCCGGTCACCGTGCCGTGGCCTCACCATGGCAGGCCAGGGATTCATTGCAGCCTCCCATGTGTTCTCAGACACAGGTTTAGGCTCAATTCACATCTACAACTGGTACACTTCAACTGTGTTCAACAATTTCCCTGTCCCTGAACCTGTTGCTCCACTCATTGCTACCTCTGATGGTGACTTTCTCTTTGCTGGTGGGGTATCAGGGACCATTCATTCTCTCTCACTTCATTCTGGGGATCTGATCAAATCATTTTCTGCTCACTCAAAACCTATATCTACTCTCCAACTCAGTGATGATGGGTCACTAGTCATTTCAGGTGAGTGGTGGAGTGAGAGAGGGACTAGGGTGAGCATCGCCCTGAAAACTTTTAATTGTGAGAATATTTATATTTTTTTGGATCATATAGATAATTATAACTTACAAATAATGATGGGAAATATACTTTTTCTTTCATGGGAAAAGATATTTTTTGTAGCACCCAATTACAACTGTGTAAACTTTTTTGGTGGTAAGTGAATCTCTTCCCAGGGGAGGATCCACTTACCACCAAAAAAGTTTACAACTCTTACAACCAATTTAATCACCGTTGATTTTTATCAATCTAACGGTTATAATTTATCGGGAATTAATAAATATGACACAATAAATGCTATTAATTTTCAATAAATTATAACTGTTAGATCGACGAAAATCAACGATGATTAAATTGGTTGTAAGAGTTGTAAACTTTTTTGATGATAAGTGGATCTGTTCCCAATTTTAAAAACTATTTTTTTCTCTCTTCTTATAAGGTTGTTGCCCGTGACGGAGACAGAAAAAATAAACTTAATATTATAACTATATCTTACTTGTGACATAGTTGTAATTAGTTTATGCATAAAATCTTTTCTGGCAGTGAAAGGAGAAGTTGGGGATCCAATAATGAACACTTGCAATTTTGGGCGCTTACAAAATTTTCTAACTCGACCATTGTTTCAGGCAGTGATGATGGGACAATTGTTGTGATGCCAACCTTTAGGCTTGTTGAGTCCTCCACCTCCTCAGTTGAAGAGGACCCAAAAGAATTGATCTTGTACAAGTGGAAGGCACATTTTGATTCAGTGACTGCTTTCAACTCTAGAATAGGGCTGTGCAGCTCTTCATTGGTTTCTTGCTCACTAGATTGCACATGTAAGTTTTGGTGTCTATCAAGTGGAATTATCATACAAACTGTGACATTCCCTTGTGCCATTTTTGGGATTGCCATGGATTCAACAGAGTCAGGATTCTATGCTGCTGGTGCAGATGGGTTGGTTTATAATGTAACAATGAAGGTTGGGAGCAGAAAAGTGGTTGGCAAATCCTATGAGTTGATGACTTGGCCTCAGAGCCATGGTGGGGCAATTGTATCTTTGGTTTTGGTGAATGAAGGGAAGAATTTGGTGTCAGCTGGAGAAGATGGGAGTGTTTGGATGTGGGATGTTGAGAATGGAGAAGTTACTATGGTTATGGGTAATAATGACATGGGAATTAGTATCAGTGATATGATAGTGGCAAGAGGTACTAATGTGTATGGAGTTAGAAAGCACAATGCAGCTGGTGAAGCCAGTGACTTCAATTCTTTAGGGATATATGATGAAGAGATGATTAAGACTATGAAGCAAATCACGGAGCTTGGGAACGTGACAAATGTGGTAGCTCAAGACAAGACAAAAGCCATTGACATGCTAGGATCTGCAATTGCAATGTATGAGAGGCTCTTGAAGCTTATCCTTAAGGAAGCTACCAAAGCCATTGAAGAGGCGGAAGAGGAAGAGAAAGAAGATGAGAAGGAAGACAAGTAATATAGGATGCCATGAATAATGCATATGCATTGAAGAAACATGTGGTGCAGTTATATATGTTGGAAAAATTTAGAAACAAAATGTCGTTGTGTGAGATCGAAGTACCAATATGTTTATATCTTTGGTGTTTAACATTAATATAAAATTTTTAAAGGTTCATTTTTCTGCTGTCAATGTAAATAAAGCCCAAAGCAATGTTGTTTTGAGGCAGAAAATAAGGTGTTTTTGTAATTGTAAAATATTTCAAGGTTATAATAGTCTTTATAATTATAATTTTTTAAACTTTCAATCGAAAATGACGTCGTTTTAATAGTGAATGTAGATAAATTATCTAAATTCACAGTAGAGACATTAAAGCCAATATAAGAAAAATATTTTTCAAATCATTTGAGGTAACCTTATTTTCGACCACCTAAAACTACGTCGTTTTGGGTGTAAGGAGAATTAATAAGGTTATCTCAAGTGACTTAAGAAACAATATATATATATATATATATATATATATATATATATATATATATATATATATATATATATAGGCAGGATCCTTTGACACCTCATCTCATAGCCGTTAGATCAAGAAAGATCAATGGTGTCACATGTTTACAAATCAAAGTCGTTGATCTTTTTTGATCTAACGGTTATGAGATGAGGTGTCAAATTTAAAATTTGACACCGGTGTCAAAGGATCCTGCCTCATATATATATATATATATGGGTTGTCATTTCTGCAGCTGCTATATGTACAACAATTAAATGTGTGGAATCATAACCATATAAAAGTCGGTGAAAGCATTAAATATGAGGAATCAATGGTCAAGATTAATTGTTGCACATACAGCAGCTGCAGAAATGATTTTACCATATATATATATATATAAAATCATTTCTGCAGCCGCTGCACATACAGCAAGCCAGGATCCGCTTCCAGATCCTGTTTTTTTTTTAAAGCTGTGGGCCCTGCTTTTCTGTGTCAGCTGCACACAGCAGCTCTTTGCAGCCGCTGCAGAAAAACTATCCCCTATATATATATATATATATATATATATATATATATATATATATATATATGGGTTTAGCAGATATACAGTCACTGCACCTATGGATTGGTGCAATCATATAAAACTTTGTTGTTTTATGGTGTGAAAACATTAAATATGGAGAAACATAATCATACAAAAGTGAAAATAAATATAAAGCATTAAATATGAAAAATCATAACCATACAAAGGTGGAAATAAATATAATATTTTTATTTTCTGTAATTAATTTTGAACACAAACTTCCTTTATCCCACCCAAAGCAACATAGTTTTTATGTGACTGCACCAATGGTTATATATATATATATATATATATATATATATATATATATATATATGATAGGATGTTTTGACACCGGTTTCAAACAAAAAGTTTGACACCTCACTAGAGAGTTGTTGACCTTTTCTTAATCTAACGACTCTGATTTGTAAGCATATGATATCGTTGACCTGTCTTGATCTAACAGCACTTAGATGAGGTGTCAAACTAAAAAGTTTTACACTAAATCCTAACTGTTGATTTCTATCCATATGACAATTATAATTTATTGAAAATTACTAATTAATTAATAAATATGACCTAATAATTATAACTGTCAGATTGACGGAAATCAACGGTTAAGATTTGATGTCAAACTTTCTAGTTTGACACCATTGTCAAATTAAAAGTTTGACACTTGATCTGAGAGCTATGAGATCAAGAAAGATCAATAGTGTCACATGCTTACAAATAAGAGTCGTTAAATCAAAACAAGATCAACAAACTCTCAGATCACGTGTCAAATGATCTTATCCCCATATATATATATATATATACATATATGTTCAATATGTATTAAACTTTGCTTATGCGAAAGCCGAAAGGTACCCTTTAAACAATCATTTTATTAAGCAATGTTCGAGCATGTAATGCACTAATTACTTAAATTTTAATCTTCGCTCATGAATAAATGTATGAATTTCATTTTACCAAGAAAATTGGAAAATAATTTTTGTTTTGCAAAATAGTCTTTTAAAAATATAAACCAAGATGTGGGAGTCTAATTATGTACAAGGAATGATGGAAATTTAATCCCAATGCATTACTAATACATTCAATTAAAACAATGGTTACCTTAAATTAGTTGTGCAATTTTTTAATGATTTTAAAACATTTGTTTAACCAAAGTAAAATAAGATGAATAATAAAATTATTTAAGAGAAAATATAAATTATAAAAGTTTTTGTTATGGACCTGACAAAGGCCTATATTCTAGAAGGTCCAATAAAGGATAACACAAACAGGAAGGGAATCTTCTATTAATGTCGATCCTATCCAGACAGCTAAGCAACTCACATTCTAGAAGGCCCAAATAGGGCTAACAGCTAAGAGGGAATTAAGGAAATATTCCTTAATTATATTAATCCTTCTACGGTAGCAATGGATCAACAATTGGACCCCCAATACTCCTAAGAGGCCCAAAAGTCCACTCTTGCAAGCGGTTTAAAAGCGTGAGATGTACGGAACATATATGCAAAAATTTTACAAAAACTCAAACGCTTTCAGCTCAGCAGAAAACCTGAAGCAAAAGGCAAGACAATTCACCCCGGCAGCCTGGACAACCAAACTACTGGGCTGGGGGGCAACTGTTATGGACCTGACAAAGACCTATATTCTAGAAGGTCCAATAAATGACAACACAAACAAGAAGGGAATCTTCTATTAATGTCGATCCTATCCAGATAGCTAAGCAGCTCACATTCTAGAAGGCCCAAATAGAGCTAACAGCTAAGAGGGAATTAAGGAAATATTCCTTAATTATACTAATCGTACTACGACAGCAATGGATCAACAATTGGACCCTCATTACTCCTAAGAGGCCCAAAAGTCCACTCTTGCCAGGTAATCCATCTATAAATAAAGGGTTAAACCAATAAGGTATACACACTCTAAACCTTCTCTCTTAGCTTATCACTGTGCACACACCCCACGTCTTGAGTATGTCGTTATATTATAGTACACAATGATCCGCTTATCTTTAGGGTACCTCTCCTATAGGTACCTGAGAGAGGGCAAACAGATCCAATATTAAATTACCAATCTCTGATTGGACATTCACGATCTATCAGATCGTAACATTGGCGCTGTCTGTGGGGAAGATAAACTTCAATTCCCACCCAAATGTGCTAAAGGCGTAAAAGCCGCAGACTAACCAAATCCTAATACGATGGACGCAAAAGACAAAAATGAAGCTCATTAACAGCTCAAGACGGACCAGAGTTTGTAATCCGAGATATGAAAGCCAATCTCAATGAGCATGATGAAATCGAGATCAAGGTCGTGAGCACCGCTGTCATCAAAATCGTGGCTGAGATCTAGACGAGATTGTGGCCGAGATCGAGATTAAAAAGAAAGGGGCAAATCAAACAGAGAGCAAAAGCTAAGTCTCCTTCCTTTTAAATTCTAAATTTACATGAAAAAGGAAAAAAATGATCCACCTTTTTAATATTTCATATCGATATCTGATAAAAGGATTCACCTTTTTAATATTTTATATCGATATCTGATCAAAGATCTGTCTTGATTGACATAATGTATTTAATACAGTCTTTGATTAAAACCTGATTAAATTGAATGCTTTGGGAGTAATATGTGGACAAATCGAAGATTTTTCTCGATTGGCATAATGTATTTAATACAACCTTTGATTAAAACTTGATTAAATTCAATGCTTTGGGAGTAATTTGTGGACAAATCAAAGATTTGTCTTGATTGACATAATGTATTTAATACAACCTTTAAGGCCGTAGAAGATGTTCGAGAGGCGAACCGGAGGACCCCGGAGGATGTCCTCGAGGCGAAAAGGATGGCAAACATGACCATGATGAGGGTTATGTTGGAGGAAATGAGGGCTGGACCTGCTGTTGGTCAGTTTCCTCCGCCACCACCTCCACCGCCACTGCCTCCACCTAGTCTTCAAGACGATGGTCAGAGTAACTTTGAGGATGCCACTCATCTTACTGGGGTGATGGAACCCTATCATGAGCCCGTTGAGGACCGTGATGTCATTGACCGCCGGCTTAATGCTTTCCGCAAGCATAAGCCACCTTCCTTCGATGGATCTTATGATCCTATTGTTGCGGCGAGATGGCTTTAGGTGTTAGACAAGATCTTCCGTGTGATGCAGTGCACTGATCCACAGAAGCTGATGTTCGCTACTTACATGCTCGAGGGCGATGCCCATGAGTGGTGGACGAACACCTCTCACGTGTATGAGATGCAGGGTCATGTGATGACGTGGCCTTTCTTCGAGGACTGCTTTCTTGGGAGGTATTTCCCATATGATGCTCAGGAGTGGAAGCAGGGAGAGTTCGATAGACTAATGCAGGGCTCGTTGTCTGTAGACGAGTACTTGGCTCAGCTCAATGAGCTAGTCAAGTTTGCACACTTCAGGATTGCTTTGCCTACCCATACTATGTTGGCCTCTAAGTTCCGTAGGGGACTTAATGAGGATATTGTTGGTCACATTGCTGGAGCCGCATCGAGAGACTTCGGTACACTAGTACAGCAGTGTAGGGACATCGAGGATGTCTGCATTACGAGTAAGGCCAAGAAGGCCAAGATTGCTGAGGTAAAAGGAACGGGTAGTTCCACTTCCTGGAGGGACAAGAAGTTTGGTCCAAAAGGAAAGCAAAAGCAGTTGGAGGCTAGGCAAGCACCGAATCAATTTAAGAGGACTTTCACTCAGGGGAGTACAGCGAGACCTCCTGCTCCTAGATGCTCGGGATGTGGGAAAGTTCATGTGGGGTCGTGTGCTACCGGCCAGCTTATATGTTTCCAGTGTGGCAAGGAGGGCCATTTTTCCAGAGATTGTCCATCGTCGACAGCGAGAGCTGCAGCAGTTCAGGCAGTTGCACTTCAGATGGTTCCCCTTCCACCTTCAGCGGCACCTGCAGTGCCACCTGTTACTGGGCGTGT